GGGAGCTGCAGAAATTCTTACTGGTAAGTATCTTAGAGGTGCCCAGATAAACTTGAAAGAGCTTTGCCCAAGTGACCTGCTCCTCTTGCCCTAGCGACTAACTACTCCCTCTGGGGAAAAATTCTGGAGACCAGCCACAGCCTTTAAAGCTGACTCAGTGTAGTCAGCTGGTGCTTCAGGACAGGTTGAGGAATGAAGGACCTTGTTGATTTTACCCTTTAGCTCCTGGGTACGCCCACTCACACTTCTCAGGGACCGGAGTGGTAGACATCCCAGGCAGGCCTAGTGTGATAGATATCAAAGATTCCTAAATTCTACTGTAGTATGATCAGGCCATATGGGCCATTTATATCTTGGTAGGCCAGAGTCAGGCAGGGATTACCACTATGTGAACAGGGTCAGTAGTAATAGATAAGAATGTGAGTCTTTTAAAGATGGCATTCTCAAAGAACAGCCTGAAACCTGTTTTTGTTGATTCTTAGGAGGATAACCTGAACAGATTGAGATTCCTGAAGGTAAGACAGGGTTCAGAGACCTCAGTTTTGACCTAGGTTCTGTGAGAAAGTAGATGATTTTGCAGAGTGATGGAAAAATGGCTGGGAAGCCGTAGGAGTTGTTAAGCTGAGAAGTACTTGCCTGACCAGTACGGGCATTATTGTAACTGGGGCTCAGGGTATTAGTCAGTAAAAATAGTGATTCGAGTTTCTTAGGAGGCAGTGTTATGGCTTTGGGGAAGGAAGAGAGAGCCCACCACTATCCCAGGTATTCTGTTAACTGTGCTACTGCTATATGACCACAGGACACCTACCACCATTGTTTCTCTTCCACGTTGAGCCAGGTCACAATCCAGTTTCCTCTGATTTTTTTTTTAAGTTGAGTCCCTTTTTGAGGCCAGGCCTAACAAGAAGCTGAGTATGTTTTCACCCATTTCTAGCTTTGATTTATCCTTCTTCACTTTCTTTTTTTCCCATCCTCTGATCTATCTTTATAAAGTAAGTCTTGGACCATAGAAACCCAAAGCAGGGAGGGTCTTCTGAGTTGGGTTAAGCATAGGCATTGTGTCTGGAGACCAATACTTTTTTTTATTTTTGGAATGGGGGAGAGGGGTATCCAATACATTTTAAGGAGCTTTTTTTACTTTTTCCTGTTTAGGCTCCCTGTTAAGTAAGACCTCAGTGAGCCCAGAACACTGTGGATTATTTGACTTATTTTCTGTTCAACTTTCAGTATTTAAGCATGTTGCCAGATAAAATACAAGATGCCAAGTTAAATTTGAATTTCAGATAAACAACAACGTGTCCTGTATTTTTATTTGCTAAATCTGGCACCCCTACTTCATGGGCAGGCTTATGTGTTCTAATGTTCTCTCTGCAAACTTAGGACAGTAACTCACCCTTTTCTTCTGTTACTCATACACAATGACTGAGCACTCTATTAAAAGTCTCTTGACTGAGACAACTCATGGCATGTTAGGGTAAGGGCAGGCTCTGTAGAGATTGATCAGTGTTTGGGTTACCCAGAAAACAACCACTCAGACATTGGCATATGATATTATAGTACCTGTCAAATGAGTCTGTCATGCAAAATAAGCATATTATTTTGAATGGCCAGATATCAACATGGCTCTGAAAGAGATGGCTGGTGTGGGAATGAGAGTGGGATGGGGGGAGTAGATTCTAACAAAAAAGTGTAACTCATAGGATAACCTCTCTTGTACCACATTAACTCTTTGTTAATTGTGGCAAAGTATATATAACATAAAATTTACCATTTTAAACATTTTTTTATCATTTTATTTTCATCATGATAAGTGTACTTTTTAATCCCCATACCCTATTCTCCCTATTCCCCCACCCACCTCACCTCTGGTAACCAGCAGTTTGTTCTCTATAGTTAAGAGTCTGTTTCTTGGTTTGTCTCTCTTTCTCTCCTTTTTTTCCCTTTGCTCATTTGTTTTGTTTCATAACTTCTAAAAATGAGTGAGATCGTATGGTATTTGTCTTTCTCTGACTTATTTTGCTTAGCATTGTACTCTCTACCTCTGTCCATGTTGTTGGAAATGGCAAGATTTCATTCTTTTCTATGGCTGAATAGTATTCTCTTGTATTCATATGCCACATCTTCTTTATCCATTTATCTATTGATGGACACTTAGGCTGCTTCCATAGTTTGGCTATTGTAAATAATGCTGCTATAAACATAGAGGTGCAGGTATCCCTTTGAATTAGTGCTTTTGTATTTTTTGGGTAAATATCCAGTAGTGCAATTACTGGATCGTAGGGTAGTTCTGTTTTTAATTTTCTGAGGAAACGCCATACTGTTTTTCACAGTGGCTGTACTAGTTTGCATTCCCACCAATAGTACAAGAGGGTTCTTCCTTTTTCTCATATCCTCGCCATTGTTGTTTGTTGTATTTTGATTTTAGCCATTCCGACAGGTATGAGGTGGTATCTCATTGTGGTTTTGGTGTGCATTTCTCTGATGATGAGTGATGTTGAGCATCTTTTCGTGTGTCTGTTGGCCATCTGAATGTCTTCTTTGGAGAAATTGTAACCATTCTTAAGCATACATACAGTTCAGTGGCATTAAGTATATTCACATTGTTATCCGTCCATCACCACCATGCATCTACAAAAAGTTTTCATCTTCTCAAACTGAAACTCCATACCCATTAAACAGAACTCTCATCCCCTCTTCCCCAGAGCCTGGCAACTACCATTCTGCTTTCTTTCCCTATGAATTTCACTACTCTACATACTTCATATAAGTTAAATCATATATTTGTGACTAGTTTATTTTACTTAACATAATGTCTTCAGGGTTCATCCATTTTGCAGCTCGTATCTGAATTTCCTTCCTTTTTAAGGCTGAATAATATTTGTCGGTATATATGATATATCCTATTTATTCATTCGTTTGTTAATGGACACTTGAGTTGCTTCCACCTTTTGGCTATTGTAACTAATGCTGCTGTGAACATGGATGTACAGATATGTTTGAGTTCCTGCTTTTAATTCTTTTGTGTGTATACCCAAAAATGGAATTGCTGGATTATGTGGTAATTTTATGTTTACTTTTTTGAGAAACCTGCATATTGTTTTCCACAGTGGCTGTACCATTTTACATTCCCACAGTATAAAGTATTCCAGTTTTTCCACATCCTTGCCAAAACTTATTTTCTGTGTTTTTGTTTTGTTTTTAATAACAAACTAATGGATGTGAGGTGGTATCTCATTATGGTTTTGATTTGCATTTCTTTAATGACTAGTGATGCTGAGCATCTTTTCTTGGGCTTATTGGCCATTTTTATATTTTCTTTAGAGGAATGTCTGTTGAAATCCTTTGCCCATTTTTTAATTGGGTACATGTCTTTCTTTGTTGAGTTGTATGAGTTCTTTATTCTGGATAGAAGTCCCTTACCAGGTATATGATAAGCAAATATATTCACTCTCCCATTCTGTAGGTTGCCTTTTTGCTCTGTTAATTGCCCTTTGATGCACAAAAGTTTTAAATTTGCAGGCACCTGGATGGCTCAGTCAGTTGAGTGACTGACCCGTGGTTTTGGCCCAGGTCATGATCTCACATTTCATGAGATTGAGCCCCGCATCAGTCTCTGCGCTGACAGCATGGAGCCTGCTTGGAATTCTCTCTCTCCCTCTCTCTCTGCCCCTCACCCCCTCAAAATAAATAAGTATACATTAAAAAAAAAAAGCCAAAAGTTTTCAATTTTGGTGAAATAAAATTTACCTGTTTTTTCTTTCGTCACCTGTGCTTTTGGCATGATATTCAAGAAATCATTGCCAAATTCAGTTGGCATGAAGTTTCCTTCCTATGTTTTCTTCTAACTTCTTTATAGTTTTATGTATTATGGTTAAGTCTTTGACCCATTTTGAGTTAATTTTTGTACATAGTATACAACAAAAGCCCAACCTCATTCTTTTACATGTAAATATCAATTTCCCCAAAACCATTTATTG